CAGAGCCTGAGAGAATGAGTGACAGAAAGAGAGAGGGAGAGATACACATACAGACACACAGAATGAAATGCAGAAACTCTTGGCTTTATTCACCCTTGAAAAGGGAACTGTGTCTCAGTTGCTACTGGTCATCTCCTGAGAATCATGGGCTGAGTGCTTCTGCTTCTCAGGAGAACTTAGAGGGCTGCCTTGCTGCTAGGCCCTCAAAGATGCTGGGACTCCATTTTGTAGACACTGTTCCTGAGTCAGTTTGCATTGTGTCCCCTGTGACTGTGAAAAAATTCAATGGGTATAGACTGGCTGGGGATGAGATGCAGCCTCACTGGGACACATCGCAAGAGCTGTCAATGGTGTGATTGTTGTACTTCCGCAAAAAGGGCCCTGATATGAAAAACGGGGCAAGACCACCAAGATGAAAACATGGGGCAAGATGACATCATTTTAAAAGAAACGCTTTTATTTTAGCTGGCCCAGGGACACAGTGCAAATGAAATTTGCAAAGCTGTGCAACTGAGTTAGAATTTTGACTGATTTTTATAGTTCATTTATGATTAGCTCATTGATCATTAAGTACATAGCGATGAGAAACAGAAACAAGGTGGGCCTTTGCTCCCCTTTGCTTGAGGTCAGAGGCATTTCACAGTGGGTGGTTAGCCAATTCATAGCCCTTGGTCTGCCAATTCCAGGAACATTTGTCTCTCATAAAGGGAACAATGGTTGTCACAGCATCATTTGTCTTTTACAAGAGGAACAAAGATTGACATAGCAAACAGAGGAAGAAGGGCAGGAGATGCGTCATCCCCCAAGTAACCCCAAGAACAGCATGACAACACGGGCAGTTAATCTATAACTATGTGGTTGATGCTTGGTTACTAGAGTAATGAGCTCAGCACCAAATGACAATACTGCTAATAACTATCCTTCTAACTATTTTTGCTAATAATTATCTTTTAATTAACTATTTTAATTCTTCAGCATCTTAGTATAACAGTGATGCCCGATGATTCTGGTGAGGCAAGGAAAGGGACACAGTGTGTATGCTTTCATGTGCAGGATCCACATACTCTCCTGACTCAACATTGAGAGCCAGGAGGGGAGGAGGCTGCCTGAAACTATTGGCCTACACCTCTTGAAAAACACTCTGGCATTTCTGGACGGTGGGAAGATGCCATGTGCTTTTGTCTGTCAGCTTGTCATCCATCCTTGCTGCCAGCTACTTACCTGGCAAAGGGTGTGCTGATGACTTCCAGAGCCTGGAGAAGTTACAAGAGCAGACATGCCCCAGCCGCAGCACCAAACGCCCTGTGAAAGGGCCAGATGGGTGTGAATATGGTCAATCTGAAGCCTCGTGGTTTGATTGGAAGAGGCTCCAGAGAAGGGAAATTGCAGTTTCGCGAGGATTGCTTGAAGCCTAGTGGATCGTTTGAGAGTGGATCCATCTCTAAAGGCCCTGCCTCTCATGCCAGGACTCTGGGAGTCTGGTGCAGGAAGAATGTGCTTTGAGCTCAGCCCAGGACCTTCCTCAGCTGAAGGAGAATCTGCAGGGCCCCACTTGCCAGGATTTGCCCACACGGCCATCACTGGAAACAGAGCTCATGCCAGTGGGCTGCATTCGGGCACAGAGCTTACCCCAATGGCCTTTGGGTACAACCTCAGTACAGGGGAAGTAAAGGCAGGAGGCAAGGAAACCAGAAAGTAAGAGAATGTGGGACTAGAGTGCGGCTCATGAATGAATGGATGAGTTGAAGAGGCAAGAGGAGGGTCCACCCCCTTGCCACCCACTTAGCAAGGCTTTTGCACGCTGGTTGGGACTTCTGGTAGATGCATTATGGGGGAGTGGGTGGAGCTCATGTATCCCAGCCCAAGGCTGGATAGAGCCTTCAGGACATTGAGGAGAGCAGATCCACAGAAGGCTTCGGCTGGGATGTGCTTCAGCTGGGATATGCTCCCGCCAGAGGTGTGGCATGCCGGGGGCTTCCCACATGAAAATGCACAGCCAGGGAGCCCAGCCTGCAAGGCTCAGAATGGACACACAGGATGGCCTCAGCTCCCAATCCCTCCCAGCTGCTTTGCAGCCTGCCCCCAGAGCACAAGCAGCAGCCAGAATCATGGCACGTTGGTGACTCTAGCTTCTCCACCCAGGGAAGCTTCTAATCATCAGGGCCATGGACAAGTCAAGCCTCATGCCTCCGGCCCAGACTCTGGGCTCTCTGCCTCAGTGCTGGCATTACTATGGCGCCAGGGAGGCGCGGTGCACACCTGCATCTGAACATACCCTGGCAAAGCACATCATCCAGAACCTCCACAGTGCAGCCTGGCTGGCTCCATCAGCCCCTCTGAGGGAAAATTGTGAATTAGACCAGGAAGCCAACTGCAGCACACACAAAATCCGCACCATGATGCCAGGTCTGCGTTTTACCTCTGTATCTTGTGCAAGCAGGATGGCCTTCTACAAGTGCTTCCGCCAGTTTCTCTTCAAAAACCTGGACATGATCTATGAAGTAAGCTTCATCCCAGATTGTGTCCTTGAACCCGTCCTGGAGAAGTGCCAGACTCATGAGCTCCGATGCACAGAGACATGCAATGGAGGACTTGCAGAAAAGACAGATCATTTATGGAAACTGCATTGTCACGGACACTTTAAGGGCCTAGATCCAAAGGAGCAAGAGTCCTGGCTGGACATGTACCTGAGGCTTTCGGATGCCTCAGAGCAGTGACTATCATATGTGACCAGCAGGATCCGAAAGGCCAAGGCCCAGGAGCCCAGACCCCGCCAAAGCCAGCTCATCCCTATGAGCACTGCACTGGCACCCAGGCAGAAGCAGAAGTTTGCACTGGGAGGAACAGGAGGAAGAGGAGGAGCAAGAGATGAAAGGAGGGTGATAGGAAGGGAAAGGGGAACAGGACCAGGATCTGCAAAGGAGCACAGGGAGCCCAAGGAAGGCAGGAGGAGAACAAAGCACAAGGGGACCAGCAAGAGTGGCGTCAGCAGGGGCAGCAGCCATAGCAGCAGCAGCAGCAGCAGCAGCAGCACCAGCACCAGTACCAGCACCAGCACCAGCACCAGCACCAGCAAGGGTCTTGCCTAAAATGAGGTCCATGGCGCACAGCACTCCTCAGGAACCAGAATGCACCGTGATCACCCGCAGTGGCAGCCACAGCAGAGGAGGCTGCATGAATGCTGCCACTCAGACTCATACCAGTGCCCATCTCAGTCTTGCTACATTTGTCATGTTTCCAGAGCTGGACAGGAGGAGGCCTGCCACAAAGAAAGTCGCCCCTCTCATGGCCAAGACCAGGTGAGATTACCAGACACTCTGCTCCCAAAGGAGAAGAACCTCAGGCCTGACTCACCCAGGGAATATCCAGAGAACCTCTCTCTAGGGGGGAAACCTGCACTCCTGACTTTGTGTTTCCTTGAAGGGAGGGGTGTGGTGGGCAGTCAACCCAAGGCCCTACCTTGAAGGGAAGTCACAATCCTGCACTTTCCCACAATTGTTCGGCCCCTGGCTTTTACCTTTCCTGGAGCTTGACTCTCCACATGTCTCCTTTATTAAAGATTTATTTCTCCTACCTGGTTATGGATCATTGCCATTTTTAAGTCAGATTCCCCAATTATTTCTTTCTAGGACCAAATAGTCCTTGAAGTCCCACTGGGCACTTTCCCATCTCAGAATGCACAGACTTCACTCAGACAGACCCTCAGTACTTGGCTCGGAGGGATTGATTTGAATGTGGATTGAATGCGTGGATTGATTTGAATTGTGTGTTGGAGCAACCGCAGCCTGCCTTCCCCAGTCCCGACCTGCCCCCAACAGGATGCCAGGGGCCACTGGGGAGGAACACCAGGACACTGAGACTCCCCCAGCACCGCTGACAAAGCCATGGATGCCACCCACCCGACCTCCACATCCACCATCCAGCCGGGCTAAGCCAGAGCAACCCCCCTTTCCTCCCTCGTTCTCCAGACCCCGTGCCACCTCCCAAAAAGGGGTGAGAGGAGGGAGAGCTAGGGGAGCAGGGGGGAAGGAGGCAAGCCGTAGTAGTAGGTGGAGGAGCGGGAGCAGGAAGGCGGAGGGAGCGAAGGAGGAGAGATAGAGCAGGAGAGGGGGAATGTGCCCGCTGCGGTGGTGGTGGAGGGGGGGATCGGATGGACCCGAGGAGTAAACAAGGACGACGAGGGGAACCGGAGACAGGGCAAGCCAGGATGGCACGGAGCGGGAGGGACACTGGGCTCGAACCAAGATTCCCCCCCCCTCTCCCCGCGCTGAGCCCCAATGTGGGAGAGAAGACGGGCACGGTATGAGCAGCATGGCAAAGCGCGGGATTGGGACAGGTGACGATGACAAGGACGCCCGACAGCTCAGCTGTTCCCTAGCCCCTCACGCAGTCCGCCTCCCGCTGAGGGGAGGCGGGGCCTCGGGACCCACTGAAGGCGCTCGCCGAGACCTCACGCGAAAGCCGGGCGTCCCGCGGGCCTCTGTCGGGGCAACCCCTACCCTGGGGGCGCGGTCTCACACCCTCCACGGACTTCGATGCAAGGCCGACCCCGGCGGGGAGGGGCACGCTTTTCTCCCTGACCGGCCTGCGGCTCGAGGGACCCCACCTCCACCGGGAGGGACCGTGGCCAGGGGGCGGTGGACACACGACGGGGCGCGGGCTCATCTCGAGCTGCGACCCCACCCAGACCGCCGCCCTCCCCCACACCAACACCTTTGGCACGCCACTCTTGCTTGCCCCTTCTCTTCGGAACACTGCTCCCTCTTGTGGGCAGCGGGTGAGGACGGCACCGCACGACACAAAGCGCGGCTCCCTCCCGCCCCAAGCGCATGCCGATGGACGTCGCGGGGAGCGTGAGCTCGGCTGGCGAAGCAAGGCAGGCGCTTGCCCACCGGGTCTGCACTTAGCAGGAGGGAGAGCACACCAATCAGAAGCCTGCCAGGAAACCCCCAACCGCGCGACCCTGGGGGACAACCTGGGGGTCCCGATTGATCGGCAAGCAATGCTCAGACAGGTGTAGCCCTGGGAGGAAACCAGGGCCGCAAATGCGTTCAAAGTGTGGATGATCAATGTGTCCTGCAATTCACATTAATTCTCGCAGCTAGCTGCGTTCTTCATCGACTCACGAGTGGAGTGATGGATCCACTGACAAGAGTCGTATGTGAGCGTTTGCTGTCCCCCCCCCCACCCTCCGGCAAGGGGAGGAGAGTCTTCCCACAAGCACCCCGATGCTGGCAGGACACTTCCCCGCCTGCTGGAGGCGGATGGGGTCACCTCCGCCGCCAGCAAGAAGGAACAGACGCCACCAGAAATTCCGAGGGGGTCAGGAGAGCGCGCTTTCACGCGCAGAGGGGGCGTTTCAGCAACCCACCAAGCCCGGCGCCACAGCCCGCAGTGGAGAGGAGGAGCGCACGGGAAGGAAAGACGGACCCCACAGGCGCCCTGGGGCCTCCCACCACCTTCCCTCTCACCGGAAAGGGTGGGCCCGAGCCCAACACGGCCCAGACGACCTGCCAGGTATATCCCGGAACCCGGCCAGCCCGCCCGGAGACAGCGGCGTTGTGCGCCAGGAAACCATACTCCCCCGGAACCCAAAAACTGGTTTCCTGGCAGCTGCCTGGCGGGTCATGGGAATAACGCCGCCGCATCGCCAGTCGGCATCGTTTATGGTTGGCACTACGACGGTATCGTCTTCGAACCTCTGACTTTCATTCTTGATTAATGAAAACATTCTTGGCAAATGCTTCCCCTTTGGTCTGTCTTGCGCAGGTCCAAGAATTTCACCTCTAACGGCGCAATACGAATGCCCCCGGTCATCCCTCTTAATCATGACCTCAATTCCGAAAACCAACAAAATAGAACCGCGGTCCTATTCCATTATTCCTAGCTGCGGTATCCAGGCGGCTCGGGCCTGCTATGAATACTAATTTTTTCAAAGTAAACGCTTCGGGCTCCGTGGGACACTCAGCTAAGAGCATCAAGAGTGCGCCGAGAGGCAAGGGGCGGGTACAGGGGGTGGACCGCATGCTCGCTCCCAAGAGCCAACTATGAGCTTTTTAACTGCAGCAACTTTAATATATGCTATTGGAGCTGGAATTACCGCAGCTGCTGGCACCAGACTTGCCCTCCAATGGATCCTCATGAAAGGATTTAAAGTGGACTCATTCCAATTACAGGGCCTGGAAAGAGTCCTGTATTGTTATTTTTCGTCACTACCTCCCCAGGTCGGGAGTGGGTTATTTGCGCGCCTGCTGCCTTCCTTGGATGTGGTAGCCATTTCTCAGGCTCCCTCTCCGGAATTGAACCCTGATTCCCCGTCTCCCGTGGTCACCATGGTAGGCACGGTGACAACCATCGAAAATAGGGCAGATGTTCAAATGGGTCTTCATGGCCGCCACGGGAGGGGGGGGCGGTGCGATCACCCCAAGGTTATCTAGAGTCACCAAAGCCACAGGCACCCGCCTCGGGCCGGGGCGAAAGAGAAAGCCCGGGTTGGTTTTGATCTGATAAATGCAAGCATACCCCCTGCGAAGGGGCTCAGCCCCATTGACATGTATTAGCTCTATAATTACCACAGTTATCCAAGTAGGAGAGGAGCGAGCGACCAAAGGCACCATAACTGATTTAATGAGCCATTCACAGTTTGACTGTCCTAGCCATGCGTACTAGGCACACATGGCTTAATCTTTGAGACAAGCATATTCTACTGGCAGGATCAACCAAGTAGAGAAAAAAGGACAAGCGCGGTGCGCGACAGACGCCCGATGGAGGACACGACGCGGCAGGAAGATGACGGAGCAAGAGAGAGGGTAAGAGAGGTGGCGCGCCACCTCGACCAACCCCGCCGCGCAACCGCCTCTCGCCAACGATGACAGCCTCCACCAATCGTCGCCTGCCGGCCTGGCAAGAAGGCCGGCGCGACGCGAGGGGGTGGCGGTCAACCACACGCGGAGACGCCTGTGGCAGCCAGAGTACACCAGCCCCACGGAGACCGGTGGCTGCAGCGTGCACACTCGCGGGGCGGGGGGGAGGTGGGAGCGGCGGCAGGTCGGCAGACCCGACTTGCTCACCCGGCTCCACTCAGCGAGACCGAAACTGGGCCGCCCCACGGCGCCATCCGGGGCCCCCGGAGAGCCTCGGACGCGGGCACCTGAGAGGCGGAGATGGAGGCCGGCTCACGCGCGCACCCCCGCAGCGGCAAAGGCCCAGCGGCAACACGCCCCGGCTCGCTGGCGGGGACGCGCGGGCGAGGCAGAGAGCAGGAGCGCGGGAAAGGGACCGAGACCCGCCTGCTGTGACGCGGCCACCGCTGACCTTAACCCTAACCCTAATCCTAACCCTAAAGGGGGAGCGGGGAGGCGTGGCGCTGCTCGGGGCGCGCCGGGGTGGGAGATGCCCCCCCACCCGCGACACAACCGCTACTGCCCTGGACCGGCAACTGGGAGCGCGACGTGCCCCAGGGGACCAGCCTGGCAAGGCAGGCAGGCAGGGCTGGAGGAAAGAACCAAGTAAGCCAGGATCTCCGGACTCCCTAACCCCGATATCTCAGCCCCCCCTCCCCCGCAACGTGGGGGGCGGGGCGAGGGCGGAAGAACCGCACACAGGCACAAGTGAGAGCGTCGCCACTCCAGGCATGGCACCCTTCCCCCCGGACCCCAGTGAGCGAGCAGACAGACAAACCCTTGTGTCGAGGGCTGACTTTCAATAGATCGCAGCTAGGGAGCTGCTTTGCTCAATAGGATACCGACCCAGAAGCGGGTCCTCTACGAATGGTTTAGCGCCAGGTTCCCAACCGACGTGTGCTCCTTGACAGGCAAGAGGGCAGCCTCCTTTCCGGCCGCGCCCCATTTCCCAGGAGGAGGGGTTCTCCGCACCAGACCGCGGTTCCAACGCGCCAACCCCACGTGGGGGGCGAAGACGAACGGAGGCCCGGCAATCCGAAGCCAAGCGAGGCTCCTGGGCGCTGCCGCATCGTTTCCCGGGGGCAGGTCTCTGACTTAGAGGCGTTCAGTCATCCCACAGATGCTGGCTTCGCGCCATTGGCTCCTCAGCCAAGCACACACACCAGATGTCTGAACCTGCGGTTCCTCTGTGCTGAGCAGGATTACCATGGCGACAACACAGCATCAGCAGGGTAAAACTAGCCTGTGTCACGACGGTCTACACCCAGCTCACGGTCCCTATGAGTGGGTGAACAATCCAGCGCTTGGGGAATTCTGCTTCACAGTGATAGGAAGAGCCACATCGAAGGATCCAAACTCGACGTCGCTATGAACGCTTGGCCGCCACAAGCCAGTTAGCCCTGTGGTAACTTTTCTGACACCTCCTGCTTAAAACCCAAAAGGTCAGGAGGATCGTGAGGCCCCGCTTTCGCGGTCTGTATTCCTACTGAAAGCCAAGACCAAGCGAGCTTTTGCCCTTCTGCTCAGGGAGGTCGCCCCCTCGCGGAACCGGGTGGGGGGACGCCGGGGGGGGGGGTCTCTCCCTTATTCTACACCTCTCATGTCTCTTCACCGTGCCAGGCTAGAGTCAAGCTCAGCAGGGTCTCCTTTCCCCGCTGACTCCGCCAAGCCCGTTCCCTTGGCTGTGCTTTCCCTGGATAGTACACAGGGACAGTGGGAATCTCCTTCGTCCATTCATGCGCGTCACTGATTAGATGACAGGGCATTTGGCTAGCTTAAGAGAGTCATAGTTACTCCCGCCGTTTATCCGCGCTTCACCGGATTTCTTCACTTTGCCATTTTGAGCACTGGGCAGAAATCACACCGCGTCAACACCCGCCGCGGGCCTTTGAGATGCTTTGTTTTAATTAAAGAGTTGGATTGCCCTGGTCCTCACCAGTTCTAAGTCGGATGCTAGGCCCAGGCGGAGCGCTGCGCGGAACGCCGGCCCGGGGGCTCACTCGGCGGGGAAGACCAGCGCAGGACCGGCCTCACCGCTCCCCACAAAACCCACAACTCCCCCCATCCCCCATCCCTCATTCCCCCCATACCCCCGCCGCCCGGCTCCTTCTCTCAGCATTGCTATCAATTGGTCTTTTGCTCTGCCCCAAGTATCCAACCACCTCTGTTGATCTGAGAGATGGGATGTTGCAGTGTACTTAACCAGTACAGTTTTCCAGGAATTGGCCATAATATTATTAATGACTACAAGGCGATTCATATAGTTGGTATTCCATGATAATAGTAACAGATAAGTCAAAAAAATTGAATAGTCACAAAGTATAAGTACTAATAAAGCACCAGTCTTAGCCACAGAAAAGAGAAATTTATAATAGTACAAATACTAATACAAAGCAAATATTGACTTAATGTGAAAAAGTAGACTAATTCATTTTAAATTACTCAGCCTATATTACTATGACACAAAAGCACAAAATGGACTAAAGTAGAATGCAAGTAAATAGAGATTATATTTTATAAGGAATGCATAGTATGTATAAACTGAATCTTTAAATTTATCTTGAAATATTTGAAGTTTTTGCATAAAAATTTAAAGAATGTTATATTGATGCTCATTGCAGCTCTCATATGTTCTCTTTGAAAATGGGAGAAAATGCATAGTACATTTTCCTCAATGTTTTATATTCTAAATACGTATTAAAATTTTCATGTCTGCACAATGTTCACCCTAAATGAAAAAAATAAGACACACTATGCATATCCTGTTAATGTTATTATAAACACTTTGCATCTCCAATATTTCATATTAAAAATTTTCACATGGATTTTTATAAGTAGTGTCTCATTATTTAAATACTAGATATGTTGCAATGCAGCAGGTTCATATTTCTAATCATTACTTCATCCAGTTGTGAAGAAGCACAAAATATAGAGGAATCACATTAGTGTTCATTTAATTAGTCACAACTATCTGATTTCATATTGTTTCTGTATTTAAACCTTGATAAACTTGATTCAAAATTACTAAGATTAGAGTATAATTAGTTATTCAAGTCAATTATGTCACTCAAGTTTATTAATTTTGTAACAAATTATTTCATAATCAAACCCAATATTATTCATTACAATTCATAATTAGCAGTCTAAAATGTCCATAGGTAATGAAATGGTTCTCAACTATATGGTCCAAGCAGTTTTACTAATACATTTATAATAATTACCTAGTCTCTATGAGTAATAAAAAAGTAATTGCAA